TGCATTCATAACAGTCGAGCGGTTAACGGAATCGATTTTATATTGAGAGATATTACGATATAAAACATGGGCTTGTTTTTTCTATGCTGTGATGGTGGCAGCGCGCGACGGCGCATGTGATACACACGTACCGGTAGCCGCTTCGGAAACGAGCGTTTCATAATAATTTGACGATCTCGTCGGTATTTCCCATGTCGTTGCGTTTTACACCAATGTTTTTATTTTTTCTTCTGAATGCCAAAAACGTGCACATTTTAGTCTTCTTCTTCCTATAAATTTTTGAATAATAAAGTGGAGATTTTGTTGGTATTATTAATGATTGAATTGTTGTGTAAATGAACATCTCAAACGTGAGAATAAAAGAATTAGTTGATTGCGATGCGTTGGCAGGATAAACGGCACGTAAAATGCATGCATTGTTCTCACTTTCCGCTTTCCTGTTTGCGCACGCAAGGGGGATATATGAATGCGTTTTCATCGGGAAAATAGAAGCACACATTGTATTTTCACAATGAAATATAGGAAAGCGAGTGAGCACTTTAATTGAATCGTCCGCAGAGTATATACGTATACACATGCATTACATTTTCTATACTGTTGGCGGAATTGCAAGGGGGGCTGCATAACTATTATTAAACACAATACGCGCGAGTTGCATAGATGCCAGGAGGCGCGGCGCATACTCGTACATCATAACCAAATCGAAGATGATTAATTACCATTTGGGATTCACGTTTTTACCGCACGTAAAAAATGATGTTTTGGTTAATTTATTTGTTCTTGAACAAGAATTACACGTAAAAATAAATTTTCCACAATATTTTCCTTTTGTGTAAATATTTATATTTTATGTAAAAGAAAATATTTGAGTCATTTAATGGAAAATTTCAAAAATATTTGAAAATGTGATTTTTTTCTTGGTGTTTCTTCATGAAAATTTAATATGTAATTTATTCAAACCCCGCAATGTCTAAATTTTATTCACGGCAACAAAATATTATATATTCGTGGCTGCTGGCGAGCAAACGATGCTTTCATCCCTTCGTTTTTGTTATCGTACCTGTCAAGGTATCTATATCGTTTGATGAAATGTATGTAAATTGAATCGGCGTCCAATTTGCAATTTTGCAATGCAGTATTCATGTAGAATAAACTTCGGCATGACTTTACCCTCGTGCGAAGAGCTTTCCGCACACTGCTACCGCCGCTTTCATTCTGAACAAGTTCTTATTTCTGCGTCTATTTGAGTTTCGGCGCGCACGAACACCGCAAAACAAAATGGCGCATTGACGAAAACGAAAACGAAAATGAACTCAACCACATACACGACTCACGGCATTTTGAAAGGTGCAGCAATGATTTTTATCACCACTACAAAGTCAACATTAGCCAAAGTTTAATATTACTGCTAGTTTTTGGAAATGAATAAAACCAACAAATAAATATTTGAGGTTACCGTGTAAATTCACGTTTACAATGTTTTTTTTATTCGGTTAATGGCGATATATTCATGGTTCCACCACAAAATCGTAAAACTGCATTTTGCGTCGAACAAAAATAGCGGAAACTGTAGTGTTACATGCGCCAACGCTGAACGCAGTGATGCACAAGCTTTGCACATTACACAAAGCGTATAACAACGAGTGCGACACAAATTTCAAATCAACGCATGCTTTTAACAATTTTTTCCATTCAACTGACAGTTGTGTGCCATGAGCAATATGTAAATGAGAGTACAATATTTTTTGTGCATCCTTGAATGCCCAAAATGCGTTTTTATGCGCTATTGATGCTTTTGACAAAACACTTGTTATACCTCGAAATAATATAAATTGTAATGTTTTTCTTTTCTCGCGCTTTGTGGGCACTCGCATACGTTTTGCATACAATTATATGCCCTCCGAACGAAAACACGTGGATGGACGCCAGGCATGCATCACGAACGGTTAATGCGTATTTTATTATTTCCATGTGTGCGCACTACTGTGCAATACACCAAATTCATAACGGGTGGCCATTTTGCGCGTTGTTGCAAGTGAGTGTGCAGCATTGCTGGCTGCTGCGATGCAAATGCCTCGGACGTGCAACGAGGATTCCAAGTGCGCCAGCAACGAGGAACTCGAGCGCGACATTCCAGCCGGAATGTATTTTGCAAGAAATTATTTATTCAATAGCATGTGCGCGCACCATCATGCGGAACCAATTTGTTTTAACGTTTCCACCTATTTCTCACGCCCTGACAATGCATTACGTTTTTTAAATTAAAATTGACGTTGCAAAAGCTGAAAATAACCTCGGGGAGTGACGTTTTGATTTATGGTACAACGCCATCTGGTTTCGGGGCTGAGAAAATATCATAATCCTTTTTTGGAGAAGGAAAGTTCGACCAAGAACATTGGCAAACAACAACCAATATCCATAAATATCGGACGTGTGTGGAAATGGTCCATGTCCACCTAGAGTTTTCAAAGGTTTTCCTGTGTTTGGCTGTCATCATTTCCGCACGAAGGCAAGACCTCTAAGAGTTCGAACGTCACACAACTTCTGCTTATGACAAAGAAAGAAATTCGTTATTTTTCATATGTAATTGAGATGCCTCCGCCTTTTTCTCTCTTATAAAACATACGTAGCCGAATCCATTTCTTGCACGCACACGAAAAATCCTTAAGGGTCACTCTCATAACAAATGTTACGCTATGCGCTGAACTCGTGCCGGAGATATTATACATATACATTTTTTATATTTAAATGTTATACATTTTTATTGGAGTCGTTATTTATCGACGGACGCTACCCTTTTCTTCGGCTCCTTATTATATGGGGAGCCTGCGATTCATATTCAGGAGCGGCTCTGGAATCGCAGCCAGCTCGGCTAAATTTAGCCGCGGCACGCTCCGGGGAATTCCAATCGCAATCGAATTCTGGATGTTGTACAAATATCGTAACGCAATAATTGCTCGGCGTTCGATTCAATCGAGTTCAATAAATGCTTCGCCGTCGTCGACTGCGACGAAAAGAGGAAATTTAAGACTTGGCAAGTAACTTCAACGCAAAGATTCAATTATTTTCTTTCACTAGTTGAAATTATTACCTGGAGAAATACGTTTGGATTGTTGGCACTTTTAAAATGTAATTTATTAACATTCTGTATTTTTTCGGATACTAACAACTCCACTCCGGTCGAAAACTTATGGAATCTTTATTCTCCCTTATTCGACGTTTTATTGTTATTACACGAGGCCCAGGAGAGGCCAAAGGACGGGCACGCGTAAAAAAACTTACCCCATTGGGGGAGCCTGCGTTCGTTCTTTTCCGAATTCAGCTCAAGCATCTAATGATCATGTAATAGTCATTTTTGTTAACTCTTATGATTATTGCCTTACATTTCATTTACAAGTAGACGGTAATCTAGATAACAACTTGTCGGTATTATTTTCCAAAGTAAATCCGCAATATACGTTTACATTCGGGGTTTTTGTGTTGTGACATTCTGACTTATTATTCGTTTATTGACTCGTCGCTTCGCATCTTCGCGGGCGGAAATCTCCATGATAGAATCAACATTTGCGAGGCATGAAAACAAATTGGCGTCGATATTCGACGAGGAAATCTCGCGCGCACACCGGAAATGCGCGCATCACGTCATGTTGCTTTTTCCGCATCTTGTGTTTTGTGTTTTTCTCAATCGGCGCATTATTTACAATGCGGACGTCGAAAATATTTCGCAGTCGTCAATCATTTATGCAATGCTAAAGATAAATACCGTATTCGAATCATTTTTATTTACGTCTTATTATTTATGCATTGTGTAACAAAATATTTTATGTCGAAAGGTAAAAATTACGTTAGAAAATGAAGCTGTATAATGTCAGCAGAAAAAATACGCGAATACTAAAACCAGAGTAAAAATAAGCCGGCTTTTCCGGACGACAGATGTTTGCTACGTTTGGCTTTATTAAATTTATCCCAACTATATCTATAGTATTCGTCGTGCTCCATCAACAAACGAACAGAGAATCAAACACACGCTGCAGCCACACAACCGACAACTTGAGGTTGTGTTGTATAAACTATATCCGGGATAATAACGAGAATATTTTACCGCAAACAAGAAAATTTCAAAAATTTTCCTTTTTTCTTTTAATAAAAGAAATTGAAACTATATACGTGGCAAACTTTTTTTCCGCCCTCAAATGAGTTTCGTACGAAGTGTGAAAATATTATATTAACGCTGTGGAGCATATGTGGGTGTAGCGGCTCCATTTTAAAAGTGACGCCGTGTCTCGTCCGCCGTGCCGCTCGTTTGCGAATCTCATTATTACGCTTGAGTCGAGCAAAAAGCACATATATTGAAGGTTAAAGAGACATTTTGTCGCGAGCGACACTCGCGTCTCTAACGATACAATCACCGGAGCAACCCCGTGCGCCGCACTAAGACGAAGCCCGCACGAGGCAAAATTTAATTTGCGGATGGATTAAAGTCGAAATAAAAAAAGAAGCAGAACTTTTCTCGCTTTTTTGCACCACACGCGCGCGGGTATGAGGGAGTCATTGTATTTATGTTTTTATTTTCCTTGCGCCCTGATATTTACCATCGCACGCCAACGGCACACGCTTTTGAGGGTGCGGAGCTAAATAAAACAAAAAAAGAAATGCAAAGCGAAAGACTTTTGAAGACTTCCTTTGTGTGCGCCTGTGCCTCGCGTTTCAATTGGGCGGGGTAGAGGGGTTCTCTCCTTTCGCACGCATCGTTTTTTGGCGCCAGAACCTAAATGTTACTCTGCGCCCAAGGGCGCACACAGAGAGAAGAAACGTAAGTAAATTTCAGCTAAATTAAAGGATCTCTTCCTCTTTGCATGTTTATATTTCTTTGTGGGTTTTATGCGTAATCACTGCACTAGAGCGACGGTAAAACATTTTATAAAGAATTCAAGCGTACAAAAAACAAAAATAAACCCTGAATGGAATGAGGGATTGTGGGTGTAAACAAAACAAAAGTGTTGTGTTGTATTATCTCGACTATATTTAAAAGTAATATAGCACCGGAAGAATTCCCGAGTATGGCAGCAGGTGAATATGTGATTGAGTAGGCTAATAGAATCAATTGCGATTGCGCAGTTCGGCAAGTTCACGTTCCTCATCCACTGAGTCATCATCCTCATCATCACTACCATGCACCGAAGTTGCTGGAGTGGTGTGCTTGCTGGATGTGGGACTGGGCGGTTCCGAAATCGGACGCGGATAACTGAACGATCCGATCCCCTGTTCCAGTTCACGCTCCAGCTCGGGGAAAACGACGTGCAGCGCTTTTGTGCGCGCTTGTCGGTAATACTGTAAACAATAGTGCGGCGTAAACATTCCGCGCGGAAATGCGAGATGCACATGATCGATAAACGAGGCTTATACATACCACGCCGAGGTTTCTCCAATCGAGCATGTCGCTCAGGCGCTCGGTACGATTACGCTGAATGATGCGCTGTCTACGGGTCAGTTTGCTAAAGTCGTGCATGAATGACGCCAACTGATTGATGCTGTCGTCCAATGAGATGAAGCGTCTATCCACAATGTATATACCGTACGACATTGGATCCGCGATGTGTTCTTGCATGAAGCAACCAAAGCCTACAGAAAGTTCAATGAATTGTGTTCATAGTTTGATGGGGAACTTCGATGTTACCTGATAGATTGGTTGTGATGCTTGGGATACCCATGACTGTACATTCGGCGGGTGTGTATCCCCATGGTTCATAGTAACTTGGGAATACACCTAGATGGCATCCACGTACAAACTCCTCGTAGTCTAATCCAAAGAGTGGATTAGTGGAGCTAAGGAACTCTGGGTGGAAGATTATTTTAACGCGATCATTGGTTGTGTTAAACAGGTTGCATCTTCGTACTGAAGACAATACAGGGTCATTCCAATCATCTACAATGTTATGGGTTGTAACTGGTGGAAGACCATTGCGTCCCAATGAATAAATGCAACGTTTCAAACGAACTAATTCTTCTTTCTCCATGAGTTCAACTGGATCTGGCATACGGCCACTAAGGCATATCTCATACATGCGTTTGCCAATCTTCTGCTGTATATCATTGATAGTCTCCCGAAGGGATTTAGTAACTGCGTGTCCACGCAATGATTCTACGTTAAAGTTGTTGGTCTTGGCAGGAAAAATTAGGAATGCTACTACAGTGACGTCACTTTTGTGCTTCTTCAGAAGGTGGTTTAATCGAGCCAGCGATTCAATGAAAATATCAGCACCTTTGTTGCCGAATTCATATCGGCCAGCGATGAAGAAGTACAGGGTTTTATCCAAATCGAAATCATAATGTCTATTGAAAAATATTTAAGTTTTATGGTTTGGGGTTGAAGAATTTAATGGTAATGTTTATCTTACCCGTAAAAATGTCCCCTGACAAACTCGTTGATCTTCTCCTTGGATATGGCGTGTAAATTTTGGAATTCATGAAGTGCGGAGAATTTTTTCACATTTAATCCGTTCGGCGTGATGACGTCCGCTTTGCGTTTCAGCAAATGCTCGGCCTCGTAACCGGTGATATCCGAAACTGTAGTGAATGTGTGTGATAAGTGCGTAGCGGCTCGTTCTATGCAATATCGATGGTAGATTTGTCTTTTTCCGGCTTCCTCATCTACATTAAACTAAATCACAAAACAATTTTTTTCATATTTAATAATCAAATGATTTTTGGTCTAAAAACTAACTACCTTGTCTAAGTTATTATAAAAATCAGTATTGCCCGCACACAAATACCTTCCAAGAAGGGTAGCGTGAGTGGTGAAGACAGTGGCGATGTTAAGATGCCGCGTGCGACAGATGATCAAACCAACACCCGCCTGCCATTCGTGAAAATGCGCGCAGATATGCGGTGGCATGCCTTCGCCTTGATTTTTCGCCGATTCATGAAACTAAACATCAGAATTTTAGTAAAAAATTTGTTTAAATATACAAATTTGCATAAAACATACTTCGGCTAGGAAATCAGCAACCATGTTGCCCAAAATAATGGCATCGTTCGCTTCGATGTCCAAATGTGGCACGCCCAGTGCACATTTATCCCAGAGCTCGCTTTTGAACTCATCCAATTTCCACGCGGCTGTGCCCACGTCCATCAGGATAATTTGTGGGTTACCGTCGACTAGCCATCTACCTGTTACCACCTAGAGCATAACATTTAAAGTTATTTACATGGTTTTGGACTATAATTCAACCTTGAGGATTAAAAAATTAAAACGTAGATTATCCTCACTTTAAATCCTTTATTGCGCATTGCGGCTACAGCATCATTTAACGCTTGACTTCCGAGAGGTCCTTCTTCAACTTCAGTCCTAGCGCAGTGTTCTTTATAAGGACCTATTAAACAATATTGGTCGCCCATTTCTTCCGTCGAAACATATGCTTTCGATCGGATTACCGTGTAAATTCCACCAACTAGAAAAATATGCGTGTCATTTTTTTAAAACTTGAATATTAATCAAGGTTTCATGTTTTTTTTTTTAATTTTAAATATGCATTTATAAACTGGTCTGCGAATAATTTGTACCTTTATTAGCTGCCTCCCAGGCGACTTCAAAAGTCCACCGGTTTTCTTCCTCGGCCGTCATACCGCGGTCCAGATACGCCATCAGATTTGTACTGGATTCCGCGCGATAAAATCGCCGGCTCGATGGTTTTTCTTTCGACATTGCGTTACTGCGGCGCTGCAAAACAAAATCGAATAAACATCGCACACAACGCAGTATCGTGGACTCTTATCTCATTTTTACACGCGCCGCGTGCGCATACGCCGCGAGTTGTTTACGATTTTTGCACCGAAATCTATTTCAGGTAGAAACACACACGCAGCGCTGCAACACATACCTCTATCGTAGTAGTAATCAACCGCGCCGGGCGAGAGCACACACGCGTTTTCACACCGCAATTCGGCACGAATTAAAACAATCAATTAAATAATAATATCGCTAACACATTAAAAACAATGCCATCGGATGTGCAGTGCAACGACTCGTGAAGTACGCGTTTCGCGTTTCTGTTTTGTATTGATGGCTAAAAGTAGTTGACCTACGACACGGCACGCGGTGCACCGGTATTTGGAGTCGCGGGCGTCGCGATATTGAACGTTCGGTTCGCGGGACGGGTTGAAAGAGACGCTCGTGTAGTGCGCCAGTGCGGGGAACCGAGATCTACGAACCGAGTGAGTATGCTAAGCAACTTGCGCCTGCTCAGTAGGAGCCGTTTGAACATGTGCCGTATATACGCACGCTGCCATTGGACGCGTGACGCCACAAGGTTGATTTAGAACTTTGTGAAGGTCACCTTCGTAAACGGTCAAATGCCTAATCGGGTTCAACCACATCGATGATGCGCTAATACTAGAGCTACAACTCGAGCATCTCAGATAGCAGACGCAATAAAACACTTATACAGTTGTAAAATGGTGCGTAGTTATTTTTAAACACACGCGGAGATATTATTGCGACTGAAATATTGTCCTTGCGTAATCATTTGACATTTGACATCAAGTTTAGAAAACCAAACAAAACAGCGCTTAAAATACAAAAATTTTAATTGCAAATTTTTTTATTTTTGACTTCCTTATGTTGTAAATCCGAGAATTTTGTAAGACAAGTTGTTTATCATAGGTTTTCCTGTCTGCGATCAAAAGTCGGGACAGTTCCCTAGGCAGGGACAGTCCTGGCGACCCGGACACGGACATCCCTAGCTTCTGCGATTTCCGTTTGAAGTTCTCTTCATACTGCGCTAGTAAACTCGAGGCTAGAGTATTATTACATCAGTAGTTTAGATACAAAGGCTATTAATTCCCCTGCTAGCAATATAATTAATTATATTTTAGTCGTACACATGTCCAATTAGTAATTTTCAATTAATTAGTTTAATAAATCACTCAAAAGTTTTCCGCTGCTGCTTTTATGTGATTATATTTCGAGTGTTTCTTTGACCTTCGTGAAATTTTGCTTTCGCCCTCTTTAAGTGATAAACACCTTTTGTGTTTGCTAATGGTGTCTAAATGTCATTAAGCCGCTGTGTCTCGGCGCAAATAAGAATACGCAGCTTTCAGCTTTTCCTCTCGTCACGGGACGCAAGTACTCTGCGCTGTGAAACAAATTGGCGACATTTTTACGCGAAGGTCGCGCCGGAGGCATCGGGGAGCAAACATTTAGCTACACCAATTAGTTCACAGACGCCTTGTCGCAGAGGTGTAAACCTTGTGCTCCCAGGCGATTTTAATTAAAATTCGAAAGTCCCAAAAAGCAAATTCATTCCTGCGCGCGCGCTTAGTTCTTTTGTTTGGCGGCGAGCGTCGAGTGGTTATTAAATTTGGTTTTATAAGCAAAAAATACTCATACACTCAAGTATTTTATTTATTAAACTGTTATGAAGAACAATATTTGCGAACAGTAGCGTAATAGCAAATCTTCTTGTAATATTTTTATTTATGTGCTGAGATCTTGTCTCGTTACACTAACAAATAACAAAGTACTTGAGTTTATTTAGAATCCAAAGCGACTGCAATGCAATTTGCAATTCGCGAAATGAAACGATGTCTTGGGTTTCTAACGTTTCTAACCAGTTCGAAGAAAATGTGCTGGATATAGACTATAATAGTTAGTATTGCACATTCGGGCAAGCAATAAATCCAATTCCTAGGAGGCGTTGGCGTTGGTTGGCGCCGTTGGCTTTAAAGAATCGCTAGTTTGTAAATTTTACTCGAAAAGTTTTTCCGTGCCCGAGCAACATAACTCTACAAGTCTGAGAATAAATAGTAAGGAGTCTCTGGATATTTCGAAGGTCGTAGATTTCAGCATAATAAACTCCTATTTATTACAATTTAGTAGAAAAAATATGTTCGAAAGTAATTTGTTGTCTGCAACGTTGTTGTATGACGATGATAAAGCACCGCCAGTAAACAATTTTCATTTCGATGAGTGGGAATGGTATCCATCTGCCGGTTTGACATGGGCCACATTTGCAACTCAATTTATGCGCCTTCCGCGTACATAATACGCAACCCGCAACGCGCATCCCACTTATAAATAACCGTCATCAGCCGCAATCGGTTATTATATCATAGACATAGCCAGAGCCCTGGTATAAACTCCTAAACGACATGCGAAATGCCTTGAAGCTGCACAGGCACAACCCTAACCATTCATCAACTCATGCGGAGCCACGCCCACGAGAAGGAAATTTAAGTCTCATTAGATGTCTGATTGATCTGCCCTCTCACGGCGAGCGTAGCGCGCGACGTTGCTTAATATAAATGAACATAATCTTCGACGTCTTTGGGGAATACGCGGACCAGTGGGCTGGGTGTCTGCGAATCTATAACTAGCGCTGTCACAGACGTGCGCGCGAGGAGTATACCCACGCGATCTTATTCTTGTAAGTAATGTAAGTCTTCGGGGCTTGCCACAGTTCGGCTTCCATTAGGTCCCCGACCATCACGACATCGTGAGGCATGTGCTCCGCGGAGACGCGCGTCGGCAAGAAACTCATGAATATTCAGACTTTGGCGGGGTGTGGGGGCAGCAGCGCCGTCATCACCAAAACCTTACATATTGTCTCTCACTGAGTCGACATTCATTTTGCTGTAGCCCTGTAGCCCTGGGTTTATACTTTAGTTATTCCGTCACCATCGCAGTCGATCACCATCACGCCCTCGGCCGCGCATTATAGAAAAGCATCTCTTGCGTCGTCGTAGTTTGGTTAGCGAAATGTTGTCGAGTTTATCACACCTCGGCGGGGATGTCGCGCGCGCTTACACGCGAAACGTTTAACAAGCCGATGACAGCTACGATGCTGAGCTTGTAAACCCAATATAGTCGATACTGGATGTTTCTTTAGTCCCTTAAGAGGTCAAGTGTTTCATTATATTGCATTATTTAATAGATAATGTATTAATTAAGTCAAAAATTTAATTTTTTCATTTTTAATTTATAAATATTTATGTTTTGTGTTGAAATATTTTTTTAACACTTTGTATATTCTTCACGACACGATGCAAAATAATATAACACGTTTTCGGGCCGCCATCGATTATTTTCGGATTAAACCCAACGTGTGTCAGTCACGCAGCTCACGTTCTCATAAAGCCTGTCTCTTGTTTACACACAAGAATCCACCGAGTCGAGGGAATAGATTTCACACGTACAATAAATAACAAAAATAATTCCAGTATTATTTTTCTTCTCCCACGAAAAAAACACCTCTTTTTAAATTAAAATCTGGTCGAGATGAAATATGAAAATAAAAGGGTTTGGCTATATCTTGACATGTTAATCCATGGCCTATCAGTGCACCCTCGCACGTTTTCTTTGAACCGCTTCGGAAAGGTTTTACACATCCAACAAGTTTTCCTCGATTACGGCGCGCGCGTAAAAGCGCAAAACGGCAAAACCGATAAATAATTCTCTTATATAGCGCCCAGATTAAGACCACGCTATGTGTGGTGTTGGCGCTGATGGCTTTTTAATTGATTATAAGAAGCCATTAATAATTCATTGGATAATCGCACTCTCTTTGCGCAAGGAGCGTACTTTCATCTTGACTGTATCGAAATTGATACGTCGCTTTCACGTCAAACGCAAACTTTTAATTTCCGAAAAATCAACGAAAAAATGCTCTCATTAACATTCATTAACACCGCGCTAATTAATTCCGATTATTTTTCTGTTTATGTTTCGGTCAATTATAGACGTAAAATGAAAGCTTTTTAATTGCTTGCTTGGAAATTGTTTTTATTTTTTATTGCGAAGCATTGAAAATGTTGAGAGTGCATTAGCACTACCAAGACACGGCACTTGCTTCACGGGGGCGGCGAGTTACGTCGTGCGAAAAGAACCGTCTCCACCAACACTAATTGATATCGCTTTTAATGAAACTCCAAAGTTTACCTCGACTGCGAGGAAGTTTTCCGTTCACGTTGCACGTTATTAGCGACTGTGTATCGGCAAATGTAATAAACGTGTTGTTTAATTTATTTTGAGTAGCATTGAAGTAGATGTGGTGCATTGCTTTAATTGGTAAATATCACTTAATATTTACAGGGTGTTTAAAATTATTTTATTGCAAATTTATAGTAAAACATTGATTTTGTCATTTTGAGGCTGAGATTTACTGCACTCCCTGTTGCCGCACTCGCACGTAATCCATTGTACCTAATTGCTTCTTAATGTAACCTCTCGGAGGCGCTCCCGAGGAAGGAAGACCCTTAGTTGCGCTCAGCGGTCGAGAAACTGCTGATCTCGCGCCAGGAGCCGCATTTTCTCCGCACGCTCTCCTCCACTCTAATATACTTCGCATGCAATTACGACCACCGACGACAATTAACCGTAATACGAACGACGAACGCGATTGCGTATCTCTGAATCTAGGCCAAGGTTAATTTTTCTGCACCAAATCATAAGTCCATATCAATATTAACAATTTGATGAGCATCAATACGATGAAATTATTATTACCTAGCTGAAATGATGTTTGTTTATGTTTGCAAACAATGTGCAAAGTGAAGTTATTACCTAGGTCGCAGTCAATTTTGTAAATGTAAACGCAAATGTATCCTCTGTTTACTGTGCGGTATGTGTGTGGGTGTGTATTGTTTCGTTGTCTCGTTAACCGACGTGTTCGAGATTAGCATCGGGCAAAGTTGCGTGAGAAAAGGGATGTTTGTTTAAGTGTTGCGAGCGCCACCAGCAGCAATGATTATTTAACGCGCTCAAAGGGTAATTAGAAATGTGTGCGCGCGCGCACGCAGGCGACGACAGCGCGCGCGGCGCGTTTCGGGGCGATGAAAAATGTATTAAAATTTTAAGGGCGGCAATAAACATTTACAGCCAGTTTCCACACCGAGAACTACTTAAACTCGCATTCCAACTTTTACAGCGACCGCATCGAGACACCCCCGGGTTGCTACCAAGTGTTTCACGGCAGGTGACATAAAAAGGGCTTAGGTTGAGGGTATTAAGTAAACATGGCGTTAGAACACTTCAGAAATTGAAAACACATATTTCCTGGAATCAGAATAGAATATTGTTGATAAAAAGCGGGATTTATTTCTTTTGAACGCGTTGATTGTTTAGTTATGCAACACTTTGTGCACAAAGGGTTCAAATAAGTGTAAGTGCGTATAAAAAAGGCATTTCTTTCTTTCGTTCCTTCACAAT